GAGGTTTTTGCTATAGGGCACATGCGCTTGCCAGAAAGACAGAGAGACAGGGAGACAGAAAGCGAGAAATCACCCCCCAGGTGGGGTGGCCATGTCACAATTCCTTCTCCATTCTCCTCTCAGGATCTTGGGCATGCACGCGCACATGCCCAGTGTGAGTTTAAGCCACTGGGTCTGGGACTTGAACTGCGGTCGGCTACATGCAAGCCCAGTGACATAGCCATTACTCCAACTGCTGGTACCATTTATACAATTTTAAGCCACTGAAAGGGATTGTAAAATAGAGATGCAGAGAAAATCCTGGCTAGGAACTGCCTGCTTGCAGCCTCTCATGACCGAGTACCCATGTCTTCCCACCATGTGACGGGTGCTGGGAGCAGGGTGTCACGGCTGGTGGACTGGACACGGTTACCACCAGCATTCTCCTAGACCTACCTTTGAATAAGTTATTTCCTTCCTCCATCTCATGAAGGAAAACACTTGGTGACATCTTCCACGTCTCATCTTCCTCCTGCTCAGAGCAGAATATTTGTGTTGACATCAGGCATAGTTTGTCTGTCAGGACCAGTACAAGGTGCACGCACTGTGGTTACTCTATGCGTCCTGAAACTCCACCCTCAACTGCTGGGGCAACTCCCCTGCTGCCCCGGCTGAGGAGGGGTGTGTGTCCTCTAACCACGGACCAGGGGTCCTTCTTACTGAGTGTTCCCTGCTGATTGGCTAGCTTCCCCTTCTCAGTGGCCTCCCCTGTGGCACCCTGGACCCCGAATTTGGTCCTGTCTTCTGAGGTTCCAGCTCCTTCCTTGTCCTGCAGGCTGAGTTCCAGCACGAGTCTGTCAGCCCCCTTCACTCTGTGTTCACAGCTGGGCCTTGGAAACGCTCCCGGTCCTGTATCCTGCTGTGTCATTGCTAGTTCTAGGCTCCCCATGTCCGAGGGCTGCTACTTCCTCTCGCTTACCTGTTCCCTCCCTGAGAATGGAAGCCAGCCCTGAGGCCCTCCCTGGAGCAGGGTCTCGCTGGCCCCCTCACAGCAGAGGGGATCTGACCATGTCATCATCGGCTCCTGCTGCAGACCCTGTGCACAGGATAGGAGGCTGCAGAGCCACCTGCCATGTGCACGGGTTATGGCTCC